TGGCTCCTAGCTACACTTTTCAGGTAGGCTGAAAATCCACTGAACTCAAGCGGATGTCATCAAAATGTTTTTAGGAACGTGTTGTGGGAAAGAACATGGACAAAGCCACATGTGCCTTCAATTTTCATGGTCATAATTTGAAAACAAGACAACTGGTTGCTTAAAAGTTTAAAAAATATTTTTTTAACGGAGACCCCAACATTTCTTATCAAAACAAGAACTATACCTGTCTCATAGAGCTGGAAGGGACCTTGAGAGGTCATTGAGTCCAGTACTCCACCCTCATGGCAGGACCAAGTACCATACCTGACAGATTTGCCATTTCCACCGAACATGTTTATCTGGAAAACCTTTAGCCAGTTTGAGATAACGGCTCCTTTAAACTTGGAGTTAATTACTGACCTTTCAGATATGCAGCTGCTGAAGTGCTTGGTAGGGTCCTTAAAAAAGCATGTAAAGATTTCTCTAGAGGAAACAAAAGATAAAAACAATTGCAGTTTCATTTCTGTTAGAGGGCTTGCTTCCAACAGTCTTTTGCAGTGATTCTCCAACCCACACCATCATGAACAGTTCCCCATCGGCCCCCAAAAAGTCCAAGTCACAGGATTCTCAGCATAGCATTAGCATATTCCAGCTTCATTTCACTTTTGTAATGAATGGAGCAAATTCATTCCTGGTTTAGCTTCACTGATGTCAGGGGTGGCTTAATTCAGTATTGCTTTAAACTCCTTCTGCTTGACACCCAGTTGGAGTATTTTTCAGCCGAAGAGCTCTATAAAAATGTTAAAAGGACTAGAGAGAAAGAAATTTAAAATACCCCAAATTTTATCCCATAAATCAGGGATGGGCAAGATACTCCTCGCAGGCCGAATGCAGCCTGCCAATCCACCGGATCCGGCCTGTGAACGAGGGACCCTGAAGCACACGGCAGACACTGCTTTGAGGCGCTGTCTTGTGGCTCTCTTCTCTGAAAAGCGGGGGAAGCTTAATGTGATCTCCCCCCACCCAGCCAGTCCTCAGCTCCTATTGGCTGGCAACAACCGGCCAAAAGGAATTGACTCCAGCCAATCTCTCAGCTGCTATTGTTTCTGGCCAGTTAGCCAATAGGAGATAAGAAATTGTCCTGGGAGATGGGGGCAGTGCAAGCTTCTATTTCCTCCCTGAGTGGAGAGCCACGTGGAGAGAGCAGCCTGAATTTTCAAGCTGTCTGGGGCTGCAGCAGGCAGGGAGCTCAGCAGGTCTGGGAGATGTTTAGGTAAGCGCCTCTCAGACAAAGCCTGCCTCTGGCAGCCATGCCCCCCCCCTTCAGGTCACCATTCAAAACCTGTGCACCCCTTTGCCCTAGGTCACAACCCCTTCCCAGATCCTGTCCCCCTCCTACACCTCTCCCCCAGTCCAGAATCCTTTCCTGTGCCCACACTCCCTCCCTGACCCTACAACCCAATCCCCTGACCCAGGTCACAACCCCCTCCTTCACCCAAACTTCCTCTCAGACCTCACACTGTCTCCTACACCCCTGTCTCTTACCCTGTGCATTCTTCTGCACCCAACCTCCATCCTAGACCCTGCACCTCCTCCACAGAAAATTGCAGCCCTACCCCACTTTCCAAAATCTTGCAGAAAAATTATTGCCCACCCGTGCCATAAATTCATTTACTGGAAATCAATAAATCACTGTTCTGGAAGCATAATTGTCCAATATAGGCTTCTAAGTCTCATTAACTTTCTGAGTAATACCTGAGCCACGCACAGATTGAGTATCAATATAAGGATGGTAGTTAGCTGTAGGCTTTTTTACTGGTACACTAAGGGTACGTCTAAACTACATGTCTCCGTCGGCAGAGGCATGTAGATTTGTTTTTTTGGCAAAGGCAAATGAAGCCGCGATTTAAATGATCGAGGCTTCATTTACATTTACAACAGCTGCAGCTGTTTGTCGGCTCGCGTGCTAGTCCATTTAAATTTAAATCGCGGCTTTGTTTGCTCCTAAATCTTGCACCAATATAAGGCTGTGTCTAGACTACATGCCTCTGTCGGCAGAGGCATGTAGATTAGACACATAGGCAAAGTCAAATGAAGCCGTGATTTAAATGATCGCGGCTTCATTTAAATTTACATGGCTGCCGCGCTGAGCCGACAAACAGCTGATCAGCTGTTTGTCGGCTCAGCGCGGCAGCCATGTAAATTTAAATGAAGCCGCGATCATTTAAATCACGGCTTCATTTGACTTTGCCTATGTGTCTAATCTACATGCCTCTGCCGACAGAGGCATGTAGTCTAGACACAGCCTTATATTGGTGCAAGATTTAGGACCCACGTAGACTGGAATAAAGGTGATGGACATGCATATCACTTCTTCCGCAGCCAGTTTAAGCTATAACAGTGCGAGTACATTTCACCACTCTCGTGAGTTGCACTGCTTTCACCATACTAATGTAGTTAAAGCAGTTCAGGGTAGACAAGGTCTTGCTTCTGAAAAGGGGGATTTACGTTCACGGCTGCACCTTAGACAATTTTACTCTATGTTTTTGTAATCAGAGAAACCTTAAGATGGGCTCAGAAATGTGCAGGGGAGTTTGATGTCCCTCTAGACTTGAAGGCCATTGATTACCTCCTACATTTTGATGCTTGTATTATTATGCTTCTTCCTGCATAACAGTAGTGAAAGAGGAATTGGTATGCGCAGTGCGAGCACCTTAAATCAATCCAGGAATCGAAGCTGGGAGGAGGGGAGGACTGTAGCATGGGGCAAGCCAGTAAAACTCAGCAAAAGATTCCTGAGACTTTTTATCATCAGAACTGCAGATCTCCCTTGGCCATCCTTAAGCCTGGAACTACTGTTTGCTCATTGCCATATCCTGAATCACGGGCCTATCAGCATCATGAAGCTGTAGATGGAGGAGAGAAGGGCTGTACAAAAGGACACTACAAGCTTTTTGTAGCTTTTATTTGCAATAGCTCCCTAAATGTGATAAAAAATTGTCCCATTTACATTCCTGTTTGGAGGCTTTATTTCCATTATGCACAATCAACCCCTCCCGCCCCATCCTTTCTTCTGACGATGAGGCAATAAGAAATGGCTGAGTTGCAAGCGTGAAGCTGAGCAACTCAAATTATGCAATGGAGGGGTGATCTCATGCATACTGCCTGCACACCCGGTATTGTAGCCAGCAGGCTATTGCATTTCTGGAGCTGCTCTACCATTACTCAAAAAGCAGGAGAGCAGGTCCCCCTACTGGGCAAAAACAGTGCAGCATTCCGTAAGCCTGTCAATTTCACATTCTACCACAGCTGGAATGCAGATGTTGGAGCCAAACCTCCTTCCTTCTTTACCCACAATCCTGTCAGTTTTTGCCCTCTTGATAACCTCTCCCCCCAGTTCTCTTTTTATGGAGTACTGCAACAGCCTCCCCTCTAGCCTTAACAAATGCAGTCTTACCCCTCGCCTATCCATTCACAGTGCTGCAGCAAAGACCGATTTCCTAGCCTGTCACTTCGGCCATAGAATCATAGGATACTACAACTGGAAGGGCGAGGTCATCAAGACCAGTCCCCTGCCCTCGCAGCAGGACCAATCACCTCTCATTCACTATCAATGCATCTCTCCAATCTATCCATGCGTCACTGCACACTCATTCAATTTTAAACAAGTGCCTCGATGCTTTGGCCCAAGCTTGGCTATTGCTCCCTGTTAACATCCACAAAGTCACCTCTGTGAGCCACCTTCAGATCCCTCCTCCCAACAATCTCCTTTGCTGTGATACTGACAAAACCCCTGGAAACAGGCTGCTGTCTCATTGATTCCTTGCACTCCTGCCGATCCCTCCATTTAAAGCTATCAATTATGTCTTATTTTATGCTTAGATTGTAAGACCCTGGGGTGGGGGGATGGATTTTGTTCTGTGTTTGTGCAACACGTAGTACCGTGCAACCTTGATCTGTGTTTGTGTTCCCTTTGTGCTATAGTAACTCAATAACAAATAGCATCAATTACCAGCACTTTGTGATGAAAACAGACAGATCTTGCATCTTCCCCCCCCCCCCTCACTTCGACAGCTTCCCTGAATGTTTTGGTGATACACTGGGTGTTATCAGCTAGAGCACAGAGTCCAGGAAATATGTCTCAATGAGTCACTGGTCATTTCCTCCCAGTGACTGAAAACGACTTTCACATTGTGCGCGAAAGCCCCATTGACTAAGACACAGATTTCTACAGGATATAAGTAAAACCTCTGACCTCTAATCTAGATGTGCATGGAGTGTTATATAGTGGCTAAAACAGAGGAAATGGAAGTCAGGATTCCCCAGTTCTGTTCCTGGATCTCACACTACAGGGCCAAATTCTCCAGGTGTAAATGAACATGATGGAGCCATGACAGTTCGTGCCAGCAGAGAACCTGGCTCAAGATAGGCAATGCAAGTCACTTGCACCTTTTTGTGCCTCAGTTTCTCCTGTTAAACTGGTAATAAATCTGGAGTAACCTCACTGAGATCAATAGAGTCAATAGATCAAATAAGAACAAAATGTGGCCTGTGTTTAAAACTAGCTGAGATTTTCAGATACAATTTGCCATATTTGCTTATACAATTTGGTATAAGAAAGTGTAAGTATGTCTTGGTCTCAAGAACATCTGCTCAGCCTAACTTTTAAGTAAGAAAGCAGAGCCTGTCTGTGATTGGGGTGGGCAAACAAGGGAGCGGTTGACCAGCTATAAATAATCCTATTGGCTGGTGGTTAGTACTGTCGCAATTTTTGTATTCATATCACCAAAACATGGTAAGGCAGGTTATGAACACAGGAATGTATGAAATTAGATAGACCTAAATATATGTAATAAATAATGGAGCATAAGTTTTCGTGAGCAAAGACCCACTTTGTCAGATGAAATATATGTCAGAGGCTGAGATTTTCAAAAGGACCAAAGGTTGGTGTCTGTTGCAGGTGGAAATTCCATGCAAGTGGTACATGCAACTCTAGGTTCTGTTGAAAATCCCAGTCAAAGAAAGATCAAAGATTAAAGACAGATTTAATCACATTGCTTCATGCGCTATGGGAAACTGCCCAGATGCAGTGAGAAGAGAAGAGAAGAGAAGAGAAGAGAAGAGAGCTTAATGACCTATGCTAGGTGCTAACTGTCCATCACAATGAAAGGTAGGGTTCTGTAATATACATTCATTGCCGTGGACCCTTAAAATTTCATCTGATCCACCGGAAAATAGTCTTTTTTTTAAAACAGAATCTTGGTGTTATTCATTGGAATTCACCCTTCACATCAGAAATGCCCCTGTAGCATTTCACATTCCAGCACTCTAGGCTCTGTGGGTCAAACAAAGAATGCTGCCTCGTAACAAACAGTACGATTGTGCAAAAAGATGAGTACCTCACTAGAGGTTCTCAGGAGATTCAGGGCATCTCTTACGATCAGCTCCAAGCTGAAGTGACTGTACCTGGCCTTTGCATGCCT